CCTGACCTGTTTGACGTTTAAAACCCTCAGTGTGGATTCCCGCTTACTATGCACGGCACTACGGAGTAGAGTACCGCAGTACTGGAGACTTGTTCTCGATGTATCTTCGAGATGACCCGTCGGGAAACCCCCGCGCTACAGGGAAGATCTGATATGCCAGATACAATGCATCAATGTACTAGTACAATCATCTCGTAAAAAGTGAGATACATAGTTAAATCAAAGGAATGAAGCGGAGCAGTCACAAAATATTACGTAGGTTGTAGATTCCAGAGTCCGAAGTATCAAGAGGATTCTCCGGAGAAGATCGGCCCTAAGGAAGTGGTCCACCTGTGAGACTCCATCTCCTTCCAGAAAGTCTACGGGTAAATATTATGACTTGCCTCCCCCCTTCGTTTCTTTTTCAGGCTACCACTATTCTCTCTTTTCACACAATTTTCGGGCCCTGGTCAACAGGTCCTTTTTAATATTATTCTCTTAATCTTGCATTTGCGCGTTCATTGGCGACAGACAGTCGTCAAATGAACCTGCACTTTCGATATTATCTTGAGTGCAAGGTAAGAAAAAAAAGGCACGTGAGATTTATTGACAACAGTACTAACTGGGATTAACAGCATCGCCTCTTTGTTCTAAAGAGGTCGCCCATCAGATAAATGGTTTTCAAACCATTCACCCACCTCGCGCGCCAGAGTTTCACCAAAGCCTTTACTCACGGCTATGCTCAATCCGTAGTCGCTGCGTCGCAGTCCTACGCGTCGACCGCCCCCTTTAACCCTCTCGCCCAACCCGCCAAATTCTCCCGCACAACCCAATTACAGAATGCGTTCTCCAATGCGTCCAGTTCGTCCGGCGCTGGCGCCAAGGCAAGCCAGGGAGGATCAGGAAATGGAGATCTCGGTTTAGCGGCCTATTATGCCGCATGGCAGAACGCCCAACAGACCGGGGATGATAGCGACTGGACTCAGTTCGAGTTCAAGCGCCGTATTGGCTGGAAGCCAACCGAGGACGCGGACAACGTTAACGAAGACCGGGCTGCATCCGATCTATCTCCCCCTCATCCTACCAAGGCTGCCGTGAACGAAGATGTTAGTGCGCAAGTGGAGGAAGCCGTGGCTCGTGAGATTCAGATTCAGGAGGAACAGGCACAGGCCGAGGAGGCTGCGCTGGGCGCAGAAGCGAGTGTTGAACCGGCTGTGGAGGATGTCGCCGTTCCGGAAGTGTCTGAAGCCAACCACATTGCTTCGGATCGCATTGTGCAACTGGCCAACTCCCACAAATTTGCAGAAATTCCCGCTGCGTTCGAAACTCTGCTCCGAGAGGGATATACTCCGACTGTCGTGGCATATAATGCCCTGCTGGTCGCTGCCATCCGTCTTCACCCTGATGCTGCCCAGGCCATCCCCAAGGCCCTCGATGTCTACTCCGACATGCTTCGTCGTAGGGTAATTCCCGATGAAGATACCTATGAGACTCTGGTTCAGCTTCTGGTCACCCGGGCCCATGATATCATTAAGGCCAAGGAGACACTGGAGCAGGAACGCGTTCGATTCGGTGGTATGGAAGAGCCTGGCAAGTTCATGCTTCAGTCAAGTGAATTGGAGCGGGATCTTCTCGCTGAGGATACTTCCCTGTCCATCGCTGTCAAGCTCTTTGATACCGCTACCGCGCGACACAACCGTCTTGTGTTCCCGGGCGATATGTACCGTCATCTTATCATTGCCTGTGCCAAGGAAGGCAAGGTGGAGGATATGATCCGGATTTACGCCCACATGGAATCGCAGAAGATGACTCCGCATGCCACTATCTTCCCCTCCATGATCACCGCATTTGCTTCCACTGGAGATCTGCGGAGTGCCGTTGAATGTTACAACGAGTACCGAGGGCTCGCAGTCTCCGATGACAGCGGTGTCTTCAGTATCGTTCAGCGCCAGGATGGCCAGGTCTATGCTGCTTTGATCCGTGCTTACCTGTCCTGCGGTAAAGAGGAGGGTGCCACGCAGTTCCTTAATCGGATTCGTTCTTCGTTCGACGAGGTAACCGAAGGTCGTCAAGACCGGTGGTCTGCAGTGGAGTCTGTGATTGTCGAGGAGGCACTTGTGCAACACTCGCTCAACATGGGCGACCACAGCAAGGCATTGGAGCAGGCCAAGAATGAGTTGCATGATGAAGCTCGGAATCAGGCCATTTCCCGCATCTGTATTGCTGCAGCCGATGCAGGCGATCTCCCCACCGCTTCAGCGGCTTACGATAGTCTGCCCACTGCACCTGACGTACGACAGAACCCAGCTATTTCCCTGCTGGCCCTTCAAGTCCGCCGGGGCAATGTTTCCGCTGCCCGTTCTTTGTGGATCATGCTGAACACGGTGGGTCAGGCAACCCCGGATCTGGTCCAGCCGACAGCTATGTATGCCGTCGCTCTGCTCAAGAGTGGGAATGTCGAGGAAGGTCTTCACCAGGCCCGCCACATGTTTAAGCGTATCCGCAACGCCACCCAAGATCAACACGCTGCCGTCGCCAGAGAACAGATTACCGAGTCACTTCACCTCTTCGGTCGCGTCCTTATGCAGTCCGCTGTGATTCTTTCCCCTCAATCGTCTATGACCCTGTTGTGGTCCATGCTAGAGAATGGTGGTCTAGTGTCTCCTCTCGCTGAGCACGCTGTCGCCAACCTTGGTCCCATCGGTATCTCCCAGCTCAAGGCTGCCGACCTCACCCTGGCGCTCCAAGTCCAGGCAGGCATGCTGGTCAGCAGCGGTTCCATGCTGTTCGATGTCGCTCATCCCGTTCGCTTTGCCCACATGCTCGACGTCGCTCTGTCTTCTGCTCTCCCTCTGGATCTCTACACCACTGGCCTCGTCGACCAGGCCGTTGGCAAGCTCTTTGTCAGCCGCCCTGATGTCGTCAAGAAGTGGCAAGACTATCTGGAGGCTGGCTCCCAGACCTCCGCTTCACCTTCGCAGGTGTTCCTTTCGTCTGATCGTCAAAGCCCCGTCTCCATGGCGGAGACCTCGATCACTACTCCGTCTGCGGCTCCCGAATCGTTTGATCCCTATGCTCACGCGACCGACTTCCGCGGATCCGCTCTCATCGCAGAGGAACTTGAGAAGACCAGTGGACGTACCGAGGCTCACCTCAATGAGGCTCTGACTCGTCTGAACAACATGCGCCGCATTGGTCGTCACCCGCGCTACATCACCTATGCTAAGCTGATTACCGCCGCGGCCAAGGCTGGTCGCATGACCCTGGCTCACGACATCCATAACATGGCACGGGCTGATGTTCCCCTCGATATGAACTTCAGTGTTGTCAAATACGGTTGGGTCTCCATTCTCGATGCCATGGTTGCTGCTTGCCTCACCCTTGGCGACCGTCAACTTGCTGCTCAGTACCACCAGGAGCTTCTCACTCTCGGTTCCGCACCCTCGGCTAACACTTTCGGCTTGTACATCACTACCCTCAAGGAGTCTACCAAGACCTTCGACGAGGCCACTGAGGCCCTCAAGGTCTTCCACCGTGCCGTCGCTGAAGGCGTGGAGCCTACCTCCTTCCTGTACAACGCGCTGATCGGCAAGCTGGGCAAGGCCCGCCGCATTGACGACTGCCTTGCGTACTTCGCCGAGATGCGTGCCAACAATGTGCGCCCGACCAGTGTTACCTACGGAACCATTGTGAATGCTCTCTGCCGTGTCAGCGACGAGCGCTTTGCCGAGGAGATGTTCGAAGAGATGGAGTCCATGCCCAACTACAAGCCGCGTCCCGCGCCTTACAACTCCATGATCCAGTACTTCCTCAACACCAAGCGCGACATCAGCAAAGTCCTAGCCTACTACGAGCGCATGCAGACCCGCAACATCCAGCCCACCCTACACACCTACAAGCTTCTCATTGACGCACACGCCTCCCTGGAGCCAGTGAACATGGGCGCCGCCGAAGCCGTGCTGGAATCCATGAAGGCCGCAGGCCACCAGCCGGATGCTGTGCACTACGCCTCGCTAGTGCACGCCAAGGGCTGCGTTCTGCACGACCTCGACGGCGCACGCAAAGTTTTCGACGCCGTTGTCTCCGACCGCCGTGTTCGTCTCCAGCCATGCCTCTACCAAGCCCTCTTCGAGTCAATGGTCGCCAACCACCGCGTTGCCGACACCGAGGAAGTCGTCCAGAACATGCTCACACGCAAGGTCGAGATGACCGCCTACATTGCCAACACTCTGATCCACGGCTGGGCCGCCGAGGGTAACGTGTCCAAGGCCAAGGCCATCTATGACAGCATCGGTATTCAGAAGCGAGAGCCTAGCACCTACGAAGCGATGACCCGTGCGTTCCTGAGCGCCGAGGATCGCACCAGTGCCGCCACCATCGTCCAGGAGATGATGTCGCGCGGATACCCTTCTGCGGTGGCCGGCAAGATCGTTGATCTCATCGGTGGAGCTTCCGCCTCTCTTTAAATTCTCTTGCCTATTTTGTGACCAGGTGATACCCATTTAATGTTTTGCACCCCTACAATCTCTCTGCCAGGGCTGGATCCCTGTGTTGGGATATTTCCGGTTCGGCGTTTGCAGGGCGGCAGTTGGATATACCTGGAGGGATATCTATTTGTTTTTCTTCCCTGATTTATATATTTTGGCATCCAGCGAAGGTTCGGCGTTTATTCCGGTGATAAAAAGAGGCGTGCATTGAAGCACTGTATACCATTGTTTTTTTTTTTTTTATGTCCATAGACACATCTCAACTCTCCCACCGCGTTATAGACGCAAATATCAAAATGAAAAAAATTGAATGAGTCAAAAATATATTTTCCTATCTTTGATATATATACTTAGGTGCATTGTAGTATTTTCCGAAGAGATGGCATGACGTCTCGGAAGGTTCCGGTGAGACCCAAACATCCACACTTCATAGAATTCCTATTGCGGAAATCATAGCTTCTTGGAACTTGGCCTAACTTCAGCTAATCCCTGGCAATTGAGACATTACACTTATTCTGTTCCCTCCCCATTTTAATGCAGACCCGGTTACCCTTCACTTTCCGTTTAACCGTTGACTCATTCCTCCGCACCGTTCCCCGCCAACCCCGCCAACTTCGATATTCCACAACCAACCAACCCAGCAATCGCAAACCAGCAATGGACCACGAACATCATACAGACGCTCATCGGCGCCCGAAGAAGCTAATCTGTAAGTGTACTCTACATACCGAGCCAATCCCTCTACACCAAGCCAATCCTTCTACACAAAGATCCCTCCTCATCCTCCTCCCCCCATGCCTCCAAACCTCAAGCTAACCCTCCAAACCCCAGTCGCACCAGGCGACATTGCACCAAACTCCAATGAACCAACCCCAGAACCACAACCCCAAGCAATCCCCGCCCCAACAACCACCCTAGAAGCCCTCCGCACGTCAACTTCAACCCCAAACTCCACAACGGAAACCGAAGTCCTCTCGAACGCCGCACGCGCCCACCAATTCGGCACAAACCCACCATTAACAATCTCTCAAATCCACGGCACAAACCCACTCCACCAATTCAACACCTGGTTCCGCGACCCCCGCCTCCCAGCCTCCTCCGCGCCAGAGACATGCACTCTATCAACAGCCTCGCTCCCCTCAGGCCGCGTCAGCGCGCGCGTCGTATACCTCAAAGAACTCGACGAGCGTGGCTGGGTTGTCTACAGTAACTGGGGTAGTCGTGAAGGCAAAGGCGGACAAGTTTTCGGAGGCGCGAGTGGTGATACGCTAGATGCCATGCCGGAACCGGACTCGGACTCGGAACAAGCTACCATCACGGCGGAGGTCGGGTCTGGAAATAAATGGGGCGCACTGACGTTTAGCTGGGCGAGTGTTGAGCGGCAGGTTAGGGTTGAGGGGTTGCTTGAGCCGCTGAGCAGGGAGGAGAGTGAGTTGTATTGGCGGACGCGTGAGCGGGGCAGTCGTATTGGGGGATGGGCCAGTTGGCAGAGTCGGGTTTTGTGGGCTGCGGAGCCTGAGCAGATGGCGGAGAATCAGAGGAGGAAGAGTGTGGTTAGCTTGCAGGGGGAAGGGAGATCGGGTTATTCCGCTGGATATTGAGCTGACGGATGTTGAGGATGGGAGGGCATTGTTGGAGGCTAAGGTTAAGGAGATGGAGGAGAGGTTTGCGGGTGTTGAGGATATTCCCTTGCCGCCGTTTTGGGGTGGTGTTAGGCTTGTGCCGGAGTCTGTGGAGTTCTGGCAGGGACGTCGGAGTCGCTTGCATGATCGGTTCCGATATGTGCGTGTTGAGGGGCAGGGCGAGGATGCTAAGTGGCGGGTTCAGAGGTTGTCGCCATAGGGGTGGATATAGATTAGTTGCATTTCTACTGGTATTGTACTTGGCCTTTTAAATTAAACAAGTGTTGTTCGAGTCACGATCTATGGATGTCTGATGTTTCGTGTCGATCATCCATATCAGCTTATCGCAATCCTTATCGATTATCAGTCTTGGCACGCGACCTCCTTCAACGTCACTCTAAAACATCTAGCCCTTGAGTCCTACGCTACTTGGATATAGTCTGCAATTCTATAAAAAACAGTCCGATATATCACTGGATATACAGTTATATCTCCACCGCAGCCATGTCAGCCTCAACGCCTCCGTCAATCCCCCAATCCTCCACATCCCCCTGGATCATCCTCGCAGTAACGAGCGGCGCCTTCGCTGCATTGAACGGTGTTTTCGCGAAATTGTATGTGGATAATTCACTCCATAACTCAGTATCGGAGCAATGCTCTATAAGCTATAAGCATATATGCTATAAGCTATACGATCCGTGTAACCCCGAAGTTAACCTCGGAACGTTTCACAGAACCACGGACGACCACACAACGGCCTTCGCACAATCCCTCGCCCACCTCTTCGGTCTAGAGTCATCGCCGGTGATTGAGATGCTTACTCGAGGTGTATGTTTACACCCTTCTCTTAATATTTCTAAAACCCGAGTTCAAAGATTATCCATCTATTTACTACAACATATATGTATAACTACATATATATAAATGTTACATATACTAACCAAACATTTTCCACAGGCCTGCCTCGGCCTAAACGTCCTCTGCAACATAATAATGTGGGCACTCTTCACACGCGCGCTAACAGCCGGTCCATCCACGGTTAAAGTCTCGATCACGAATACGGCGTCGAATTTCCTGGCGACAGCGGTTTTTGGAATGATTGTTTTTCAGGAGGCTGTTGGCGGGCTTTGGTGGTTGGGGGCTGCGATGATGGGGGCTGGGTGTATTTTGGTTGGGATGCGGGAGGGGGCTTAGATTTTGGATTGCGTTGAGATTTAGGTGTTATATATATGTTTTTTTTTTAGATCTATAGTTTAATTCATATGGAGATCTTGGATATGTTGATGGGCTTTTGGTTTGGCTTTGATAGTAGTTGTACGGAAGTTGAGGGTGGGGTTGTTAGATGGATTAATATATTTGGGTATTTGCAATGAGGTAAGACGTGAGTGACATGGTGTGAATTAAAGAGAAGTGAAGCTGTTGAGGCTCCTACCTTGAGCTACCTCACTCGTTGCATTCTTTGAAAATGACCACTATCCACGACCCTTGATGCAATTCGAGATCCCCCGAATGATTTGGGTAATTTTAGTTCTGATTATATAGATAAGGCAGCGAAACTTCTTTCAACACCCAGAAAGCACGCGGCAGATAAATCTGCTCGACTTCACCCTATCACCTATCATTGCTCTCTTTACTGTCAGTATTAGCTGGATATATCGAGGTTGGTAAACCCATCTCTATATATCATGTCTCTACTTGATCGGTATTCACCCTACACATATATGATACCTTGTCTTTGTCCTTAGCACCTAGGTACTAACTATAGAAATAGTCGGGACACCGGGGCTCATGGCCTAACTTTTGGCTAGCCTATCCGCTTCTAGATTACTTATATCACAAAAATCGGCCTTACAAGTTGGTTATCCATCTTTCAGAGATCTCTAATAAACACTCACCGTGATGGATGATGATATAGAAAGCTATATAACCAAAGCCTTCCTCGAACTAGAAGCAATCCAAAGAGGAATTGATGATAGACAGGGCTTATGGATGTCAAAACATGTCGCCAAGCGTTATAATTAATCCCCAACATGTCAAACCATTCCGGTCGAAAGCCTCCTCTGCTGTCCCTCGTCTGTTCCTAAGGGGAAAGGCATTGAGTTCTCACGAAGACAACTGAAGGAAATCGTAGAGACGATTTGGGAAGCTAAGCCACTACCCTAGGGAGCCTAGAACGTGCAATTGGGAAAGACATGAGGAAGGTAGAATCTGCGCTTCGCTACATCATTGGTGATCATTCCGACCTACCCTATGCACGCGGCTAATTGGCCGATTCCCACACTACATACAGGTGTCAGATTTCAATTTGCGACAGCGCGCGAGAGCTACTGCTGCTGGTGCATTCAACACTTCCTCCCATGGATGCCTGTTTTATTCCCTCCTTAATAGTAGTCTAAGAAAAGTAAAAGTAGTGAGATGAGAGTGGGGAGAAAGTGAGGTGAGAATGAGATGAAAGTAAGGTCAAAGGAAAGGAGCAAGGTGAAGGTGGGGTAAATTCACTGAGATGTCAGATATAATGAAAAACAAATGTGTGCAGTACCTGAGATTCTGTCATAGCTCATTGTGCCAACCAACGAAGATATGGCGGACACCTTGGTCTAGCGGTTTGAAAGTTTGCAGTGTATCTCTTATCCCTCAAATCGCTTTCCAGGGTGTCTGCCCACTTTACACTTTACATGTCGTCTATACCCGGCACCGTGCTGATCGCCGGTCAATCCAGTTCATGAACTTTTATTTCTTTTAACCTTCGACGCTCTACCCTCTCATCCATAGCATCCATCTATCTAATAGACTGCTTTCTTCGATTTGATCTATTGCTCATAGATCTCTTCGCTTATACATCTTGACTCTTGCCCGATAGGCCACAGGGTCACCCAGATCTGACATTTGGGTAGGATTGCGGTGTATTCTACTCACACCTCCCAGTATAATACTTGTTAAAGATGAGTAAGAAAATACAAAAGCATGCATTTGTTTTATTGTACCCAATACTGCCACAAATCCTCAAACAAATCACGCTATGTGATACATGTTCCAGAGCTTCCGGTTCCCTAAGGAAGACATCCGAAAGCACATCCAACATGCCGGCAGCGGCGGGCTTCTATAATCAAATATAATATTCCAGCCTCGAGTTTCCAACATATCTATCGATGTTTAGAATGCCAGCATCCTAAACCGCCTCCAGGTTCAACTTCAGCGAGTCTGCAAGTGAAGTCCAACCAGGTCTTCCCAAAGCCTGAAGCAAGGCCAGACCACGTCCGTTGGATATTTCAGAGATATCCTTCTGGCTCGGGTCCGTGAAATCATCGACCCATTGGTGATTGGGTCGTAGTTCACGAAGATGCTTCATCACGTCACTGCCTAGGAGTAAGCTATGTTCACTTTAACGAAAATGAGTAATCGAACGTACTTCCAAGTGAAATGCTCGCCGTATGCGATGATACGTTCATTTTTGACATCAGGGTTTGTCAAAGCCGCCACGTGCAGACGTGCGGAATCTTGCACGTCGACAAACCATTCTATGAGAATAATTAGCAAGGCATACCTCCCATCAAGCGAGCGGCGTGAGATTTAAGTCTAAGAATACAGAAGAAAAAGTGGACCATGCCGAATCTTCGCCACAGCTAGGGGGAAACTCACGATAGTCGACTGTTTTGGCCCATTCGGTATTCCCATTGAAGATCTGCTTCACAAAGTCTCCGGAACTGGATGGAATAGAAGGATCCAGGACTTTGCCGAAATTGACGCCCAGGACAATAGAGCTCACGACAAAAGGCGCCTTTTTCTCAGTCGCGTACTTGAAAACAGCTTGCTCGGCCTGTGTTTTGCTCGCCGCATAAACCGACAAGGCACGATCCATTGTGTAAGGCGGAGGAGCCCACGCCTTCTCAACGGCCTCCTCATTGTAGGAGGTTTCATCCAGCTTTTGAGCAACATTGAACACCGCAGGTGCAAGAGCAGTTGTCGATGCAGTGTAAACAAAACTCTTGACTGACGGTGATTGCATCGCCGAATCAAGGATGGAGTGCGCAGAGGAGACAACCTCTGTGACGACAATGTTGGGATCAGGGTTGAAGCTCACATTGCTGGCAACATGAGCTATGCCGGAGACGCCTAGAAGTTTACGTTAGTGGGTGCGGTAGAAAGCAGAGGATGTTGTATCTTAAAACAACCTTTGACGGCCTCGTCAAAGGCCCCAGGCTTGGAGATGTCTTGGACAACCACCAAGTCCACTTGCCCTGCCCCAAACTTGCTCTCCCAATTCCTAAGCAAACCTGCAGCCTTTTCGACATTTCGAACAGTTCCACGGACTTTGAAGCCCGCCTGGAGCAATTGGTCAGCAACGTGAGAGCCAATATAGCCGGTAATGCCGGTAACCAGCACGGTCGAGCCCAAAGGTAAAGTGGAAGCCATAGCGAATATTTGAATCGAAGTGTAGAGTGCTTGCAGTGTGTCCAAAGAGAGTTGTAGAGATTGTGCTGAAATTCAAACGGGAGACTTCTGATTAAATAGCCACGAGAAACTCCCCTGACGAACCTTAATAAATTAGGGTATGAGCTTTCTGCTTTGTAATCTAATTATTTTGTCTAACTATCAGTATATTTGATGGAAATAAAAATGGAAATGATAGCCAATGATTGGAAATACTTGATTGGAAATACATGGATCGAACCTTTTGGAATGCTTGGCTTGAAACGTTATCTCTCTGATAAATAGGCGGTGACAGTGAGGTCAAAATATAGTCTGAGTGTATAATTTCCTATTACTTCGTTGTACCGGGCATTGCATTAGCCTGCAGAGAAAGGAACAAGGTATCGGAAAATGACAATGGAAGGGGGAATAACTCTTCTTGGACTGTGAGCAGCCCTACTATACTTACCAAGTCCAACTCTCCCATTCCTACACCTGGTCCGAATCAGGTCCTTGTTCGTGTGAATGCCATCTCACTTAACCATCGTGACCATACCGTTCTTCATCACACTTACCCTCTGCCAACGAAAGCGAGTCTTGTCCCATGTAGTGATGGTGCAGGTACCGTGGTTAGCACAGGACCAGGTTCTTCCTGGGAGACCCGCTGTGGAGAGGCAGTTATCTTGCATCCAAACACGTGGCTGCAGGGAGACCTGAGCAACTTTGATGTGGAGAGCGTGTTAGGGGGTGGTGATGCACATGGTACTTTGACCAAGTACATCGTGCTGGATGATGTGCAAGTTTTGGAGTCGCCGACCAATTTGACTGTGGAGGAGGCTTCGACTTTGCCAACGGCTGCCTTGACAGCTTGGAATGCGCTTTTCATGGGTCCTATCCCATGCCAACCTGGCATTTCAATTTTGACTCAAGGAACTGGTGGCGTTAGCTCTTTCGCAATACAGGTATGGATAGAATTACCTCTCGCACATTTGAACCTCCCTGTTTCACGTTATGTCCCCACATTATTATTATGAGAGCGCTCCTTTCCTCTAATTTTACTCTACTGACCATGTGCTGTTTTGAAATAGTTGGCTGCCGCTGCAGGTGCCACTATAATCGCGACATCCTCCTCCGATGAAAAACTTAAAGTTGCTAAGCAGCTAGGTGCCACCCACTTGATAAATTATCACAAGACACCGAATTGGTCGGAAGAGGTCCTTCACATTACGAATGGCCGTGGGGTTGATCATGTAGTGAATGTCGCTGGTTCAAGCACCATTGAGGAATCACTGCTCAGCGTGCGGCAGGGCGGAGTTGTGTCAGTCCTGGGTATGCTTTCAGAGTCGAAGAAAACAGATCTGGTGCCAATGCTTATGATGGGAGGGAAAACACGTGAGTGGAGCTAGTGAATAAGCTACTTGGAACCCAACTTAGTTAGCTAACACATAAACAGTCCGAGGCGTTCTTGGAGCAGGAAACAAGGAGATGCATGAACAACTGGTGAAGTTCCTCCAACATCATGATATACATCCTACTATTGCGCGGGTTTTTGAATTTGATCAGGCTGTTGATGGATTCGCATATATGGCAAAGCACAGCGAAGTCGGAAAGATCATCATTAGAGCCTAGAAACTTATAGCTATCACCAGGGACCCTGTATAAAACTACATAATCGGGATGAAGTGCCCACCTGGGCAGATTAGTATTAGTCCCTTGGGCCTAATTATCAGGCCCCAGCCTCCATCCTAATGACTCCCCGGTTATACATTAAAATGTCGTCTGTACGATTTACACTTTCTCCGTCTTTTTCTGTCTTCTAACTATACAACCGAGAAGGGGGAGAAAATACCCAAAGGAAGCACATCTGAAATAAAATCTAAAAAAGACTGCTGAAAAGATTACCAAGAAAAGACATAACAAGAAAGCATAAGCGGCCCACTATTCCCTGGACAAAACAACATGGCAAGAATGTTCTTTCAGGCATCAGCAACCACTCTTCTGCTTATTCGAGGATGATTTGCTCGGATTGGCATCAGAATACGTGCGCAGGGAAATCGCCAGCAAATGCCACCGATATCCTCCATATCACTTCTGACCGTTGTATTCCAAGGCCCGAATTCATACATTTTGAGAAACGGACGGAGCGATTTCGGGCCGAGTGTATTGTTGAGATATTGAATATAACTTTTGTCATGCTCCGCGAAGGTGATGAGTATCTGGTGACGGTCCTGTGGTATGTGATGACGACTCAGAGTTGTAACATGGCCAGTCAAATGGTTTTAGGGGTGTATAAGAGAGGGCGACCTTACCTGCCCGGGAGGTTCAAAGCGCCAGTGAGATCAGGATCTGATTTTATCCACCATATGGGTGGCTTCTTGCATACAGATAGAATTCCTTATATCTCAGGCCGCAAAGCCCGCACTTGGCGCCAGACAAGAGAAAACCGAACCATACACCTTATCAATACCTTGCTCCCCTGTTCGCTTCTTCTAAGCAAGTTGAGATCTTCATCAATTGTCGTCAAATTTAAGATGAGGCACTCAAACGGGAGCGGGCTACTCGTCGCCACACGTTGGCTAGGATTGAGAACCTAATCAAGCAAACCCCGAGTTACTTGGTTCTTCCTGGTAACAGAAATGTAGCTCTTATGATGTATGATAATGAAATTGCCATCTCATGTCTTCCCAGAAACGATGTCTACAACTTGAATAATGAAGATTGCATTTGGGCTCCAAAATAAATCCAGTCGACTGGTAGCTTAGAAGTAGGATGCACTGTATTTTGTATTCTAGTAGTTCCAAGGCTTATCTCAGTATGGGGATGGTCATGCTCCCGCCGCGATTGATTATTTTGTTTGCGGCAATGCGGGGAAATTGCGATGGGTAGCAGCTCTGATTGGTCAATTGTTGATGCCTTGCGTGGTGGAAGGAATTGAGCCTCATCTATATATAGATTCCTGCTGGTCCACCACTGATTCATGTCCATTTGACAGATCATGCTACTAGGTAACTGTTTGTAAGAAATTACGGATCATGGAGCTTGCACGGTGCTCAACTAATACACGACTTTGAGATGTTGACCACAACATTGGATCTCAACATAGCCAACGGAAGAGACGATGTCTTGTACAGGCTTTCTCGGACTACCATTATACCAGGCATCCAATCACGAGGTCATGCCTGGAAGAATGTAGCCCATCGAGTCCTCTGCGGTTCTGGAAGAACACGCATACACCAAGCTGACAGCCCACCCGCAAACGCAAAATCCGCGGTCTCCCATTTCTCTGCAAGTCTCTCCTTCCATTGTTCTATCCAGATAATCTGTTTCTCGCCATCAGAAGAAACCAAGGGCACCATGCCTTTAGGCACGCGTTCAGAAGGCCGAAGAAGCCGGCCGGTATAAAAGAATTTGTGCTCAGGATTGCAAATACCCGGGATTTTGGAAAGATCGCCCGACTCACACTGACGGTAACATTGTTGACAAAATGTTGAGAACGCACAAGAACGGCAGAAATACCAGTATTGCATGGTCCCAGTTTCCCGCTTGCAGCCCGAACAGTCGGTGCAACGGTCGTATACCGTATCAGAATATAAGTCCAAGGCATCGTCTATATCATTATTGTCATCACCACCAGTGCCGGCATCCAGAAACCGATCCTCGTCATCGGTCAGTTGCACATTTTGGAGTTCATCAGAGACTTCAAGCTGCACATCATCGTCGGATAACTTGGTAGTACCTGTCCTATTGCGAGCCACGCTCGTTCGTGGCTCTGTTTCTTGCTTGATCAAGTATAAGGCTGCCTCGAGATCTTCGTCGCTATCTGTGACGGCAAGGAATACGCCGAAAAGTCGTATATAGGCATCTATGTCGTTTGAAGGATCATCATCTGATAGCAAAGAGATACACTCTTTGACACACCACCGGAGAGCATATCTGGCGTTTGCGATATCCCCACGGTCCCGGAGCCAACTCGACAGGACTAGACAGATGTCGTTGAGTTCACTGTTTTCCTTCAGAATTAAAGGCTGTTCACAGAAATAGATATCGACATCTTCTAGGCACAGGGAAGCTAGTTTACTCATTGCCCGCATGCGAGGACCCCTGTCCCAGCTTTCAGAGGAGACCGAGGAGACAACCTCATACCAACCCTGTACCGCTGCATCTCGTTGCCCCTTTTCAAATAAGACTGTCGCGAGGCGGTATTTAATTTCCACGGGGTAATCAGATTCAGCATCGACTTTCTTCAGGACTCTGGCGATAACATCAAGATAATTCTGATCGTAGCGGTTCAGGGCATAATGAATGACCCTATACATCATGAAAGCTCGTAAAATGCAACATCTGAGGATGAGGCCCTCAAAATCCATAGGTATGCTTCTACTAATGCTGGCTGTCTCCTCGAAATGAGTGAAAGCAAGATCAAACACGGACCGCAGACGGTGCGGTTGGTTCAATTCCAAGAAGGTCATGAAGAAGGGTAAAAATTCATAATCGCGGTTCTCGCTTTTATGTTCCAGGAACAGATTCCACGCTTCCTCTGTGGTTGCAATTGCATCATCTGTCAAATTGGCACGATGTTTCATTTGCGCCTTATTTAGCAAGCGATTGATATCATCATCGGCGTCATGATCCTCATCACCCACGAAGGTGCTCCACAGGGACTCCGATAATTCAAGATGCTTCAATGCCTCTTCGTGCATTCCAACCTTAGTATATGCACGAGCCATGTCTCTGTGAATGACGAACAAGGACTCGCCACTGAATGCCGAAGTTGATTGGTTTCCGTCGAGCGAAATTTGAAAATGCTCAAGAGCTTGTGCGTAGCAGTGTTTCATGAGCGACTGAGCAACTCGCGCATGCCACATAGGTGTCTGCTGAAGGTTTTGTGACTGGGCAGGAATCAAGACGCTGGAAGGCTCTCTATGATCCCACAATACTTCTGATATCTTTGATGTTATATCGTCTGCACTAGACTCCTTTATTCCTCTTTTCATCGCATTGTATACTGTCAAAATGACAGGGACGATGTCAGGCAATGCATCATTATACTTAATTTCCTCTGGTTCTAGCCAGAGTTTGCTCCAGCGGGTTACCAGAAATGACAGGAGAACTGTGAAGGGACATGCATCACTTGCAACCGCTGATGCTCGGGCGTGATCCACAAAGCTCTGTTTTTGACCTGGAAGAAGCCAATGGAGTACAATCTCGGCCCTCTTATTTGCGGTATCTTGATCTTGAGCGTCCAGCCAGTATGAACCGAGCTCTGATGGCTCGCCAATTAGGTAAGGTGTGTGTGCGGTAATACCCCTGACAGTTATTGCATCAAGGAACCACTCTTTATCTTTCCTATTGCTGAAGCTAAACAGACTCGCAAGCAAGGTGGAAATATCTCCTCGTAGATTTCCCGCCTTTTCAGGATTCGCACGGGTGAGATGTGATGGCAGGAAACTCCCAGCATATACCCAGAGCTCTCCCATGAATTTCTCGGAACAGGGCGTGTACCACTCGTTCATGGCATAGAGTAAAACATATAGGAAGTTTGCTTCGGCTTGATCGACGTTAACATGGATTGGCCCAGACGACTGCGCAGACGTCCGGAAAAATTCATAGAAGGAGCTATGCCGAAGTGTCACAACCCGACCGTCTTCGTCTTCATCAAGGTCATATTCGTCATCGTTGGCTCTTATATAAAACAGAGAGGAGTAAATCGTACGAATATCATCTTCAAGATTCATGAACTCCTCCTTCAGGGTGAGCTCGAGGATAATTTCAAGCTGCTGCACAGTCAGTGGCTTTTGAGCCAAAGCGACAAAGGAGAGCAAGATGTTCAATTGCTCAATTTGTGATGCAGGCTCCGCTCGCTCGGATGTCTCATCATCAGACAACCCCTCCCACTCGGATAGTTCTTTACTCAGACGCTGCAGTTCCTCACGAAGCATCGCGCTGATTCCTCGTGGCATTGTCCTGACCACTTTTCGGATCTGCTCTTTGGTTCGACAGCGCAAAACAGATTTGATGACGAGATTGGCCCATTCCCACATGCCCTCAGCTTCCTGGCTGATCTCGCTGATAGTTTCTTTGAGCAAATCAGGATGTCCACGAAATAATTTGGTCTTCTGTAGTTTCTGCGAAACGTATTCGTGGAGGTCGTCCTTATTCTCCTGGTTACCGACTTCAATCTCCGGGATCCAGTCCAACGAATGCTCGTCGAGCATGGCACGCACCGAATCCCTACTAAGAAGCACGATTCGTAAAGGGACGGCTCGGCTGATATTATCTTCTGCTAAAAAGCCTTTCTCCAGCAGACTGAAAAGGACTTCTTGTTCCTCTGTGTCAGCCTCATCAATACCGTCAATCACCAAACATGCTGTGGTGGCTGATGGGACGTCGGTAAAGTAATTTAAGAAGAGTTTCTCCCAAAGGACGTAATTGTTCCCCGCGTCTTCTTTCATGCAGAACTCTTCGGCATGCACCGCAAAGCTAGATTGTTGTGTGGCTAACTGCCATGCTATGGTTCGCAGGGCTTTGTTGAGGGAACGTAAATCGGCATCGTTGTTCTTGTAAAAGAAAGAGGCAACCATGGGTGCCGGGGTCACGGGTGACTCGTTTGAAAGTTCGGTGATAATTTTTGATGCCAGATGAGATTTACCTACTCCAGGGCCACCATGAAGCCAGAGGAGCGGTTGAGATCCTTGCCACCAGGACCGAAGCCTATCTTCAACCCAGCTACCGGATCCCGGTATGCGATTCTGGGTGATGGAAGAAAAGACCTGGCCTGATGCGGAAACCGGATCTAATGCAGCTTTGACCATTTCCATCCTCTCGCGATCCTTTCTATCATCATCTCTATTCAGCAATTCCTCGGTATTTCTCAGAGCTTGATGGGTGAGATTCAGCCCATGGGCAGAAACCATCATATGCTCCTGGCTTGTCAGCTCCTCTAGCTCACCTAGCAAAGAGCTAATTGACGTATCGTTAACAAATATATTCTTTGCCCACTTTGAAAGTCTCGCCTTGAGTGAACCTTGGCTCAAGAGCTTTTGTGACGCTGCGCAAACTCTTAGAGAATTAACCAGCACTTTCACGATGATTGTTTTCATTCCCTCGCTGAGGGTGATCCCCTTGTATGAGTCCAGACGCAGAGCGAAGTTGCCCAGCTTATGAAATAGGTCGAGGATCCCGTTGAATACGTCACTGACCCTGCGCGCCGCTCGGACCAGAAGGAGCATTGCACCCATGATCGATGATGCTGGAGGGAAAGCTGCAGCGACAGCACCAGCAATCAGGTCACCCCAACTTTCAAAGGGCGCCATAACCATCTGCATTGCATGTAAAAGGGGCCGTTTTTTCATTCGAAAATCTTCAAAGTTGTCCTTTTCGGATTCTAGCTGGCGAGACAGGTCCTCAGGCCCCTGTACTTTGGGGAAACGCTCCGCCGTTAACGAAATCCCGGTTTCCTTGCCATAGTCCTCGCAGGCACTATGCCAGAGAGACGGCAGACTATCGGAAGGCTCCCTTGCAGTCACTACCATGGTGAGCAGGTGATTCAAATTCTACAGAAATGGAAAAAGAGGGAGGTGCACACATGTTGTTCATAGAAATGAAATCTCGTGAATTCAGTCTTATAATCCCCCGCAATAGTGGGGGCTGGTATTTCACGCTGCCAAGGTTCCTTATTAGGAATAGTTGGGTGCAGTAAGCCCTCCAGAGCTGAGTATCTCGTATACAACATAAGCTGGCGTTGTCAGAACCTCATAAGAGCTATCACATGTAGAAGCCATTTCTGCTAGGAACTTCCTAATGTTCTGATATTTGGGACCCTCTATAAGTGGGTGTAAACTATGTAGCGACCTCTAACAACCTCTAAATATAAATTAACCATCAATAAACCGTTGATCTTTTTATAGGCCTACAAGTAACCTATTTACGACTATATATATAGTCAATTTTAGCATACTTAGAAGATACATATGATGGTGGAGAACTAGATCCTTACTACGTATTAGGCCCTGTGTAATTTATTATGTAATCTTTTATGTACATCTGGGCAGATCTCGAGGATACAAGTAGCAGATAGTTAACTATAGATTGATAATACTCGTTCCTACGCCTCTCTCATTTCACTTCTTGGGCTGATCGCCCGGGTTCTTTTGTATGCAAGGTTGGGTATGAAGCTGAATTGAGAGTGTTGAATTGACCCGTATACCATCGAGCATACAGCCTCCAGCGTTCTCCTCTTCAATATGTACATATATGTAGGTGCATAGAACGGAAAAATCTGAGAGACTCTCCGTAAATGCCCAGACCGCTCGACCGTGAATGTCATGACATGGGCCGGGGTTTTGCTTGTGCTTGCATGCTGAACGGAACGACAGTTTGCTTCTGGGGCTTATTTATATTGTGCCTCAAGTGTCAATTTATTTATATTTCAGACCCACTGGATGTATAGGTGGGACAACTTGGAGAATTTTTCTTCATCACACCCATCTTAGCGACCAACATTAAGGTTAGAAGTTCGATGTCATGCCCAGGTCGCACCTGGCCCCGGAGGCCCCGCATCTAGAGCAGGGCCCAAAGCGACCCACAAGGGAACAGATAAGAATTAACCAGTTGAATCGTGTATGGCCAACGTCTACGAACATTGACCTCTCAGTCTCATCACACATAAAAATCTGACGTGTGTACCAGCAGCCTAAGCACGGTTAAATCGTAAAAGAATTTCCCCGCCATAGCCATTCCTTTCCCTAACACCTCCGGGTATCAAGAATGAACCAAGTGTTTTTTTACCGGATACAACAAAAAGTGAAAACTAAATGTATCTACCATAATATTTGATCTTAAAGAGTGTGTGATTGTTTAAGAGTTAAAAGAAGAAACACATCAAATAATCAATGATCTTGAAGGGTGTGTTAAGGGACAAACTTAGTATATATATATCAGTCAATATCAACCATATATATTTATTACACTGCTCCCCAGACACAGATGGGGACTATGCTGATCTTTCTTGCGGTAAGACGTCAAACTACCCCAGCGCGTGACCGTAACTGATGTAGCTGGATTATCAGAGCCCTGACTTTGTGAATGGCGAGAGTGTATTGAGTGGATGGCCGATCAAATGCGTAATCTCCATAATTGACAGCAGGTCACAAGTAACCACGGGAAGTAGTGGGGTATAGTAGTAAAGACCCCTCTCTCGTCACTGACACTCGTTTATTTTTCTTCTGCATCAATCATACTACCTATGTTGTCTATACCATTGGAGTAAGCTGAAGTCCAAGCCCAGGCACCGTGCGCGTAGTAGATGTGGGCTAATCACCGTTTTGGCCGAAAAAGGCAGCTCGGACCAACAGGAAATTCGTGTAGTAACAAATGCTATTTCTCCAAATCTGCTTCGGAGACCTGAAATGCTTGTTTGATCTACATACGTATCTTTCAACTCCTCACTTTTTTTTTAACCAAAAAAAATAATAATAATAATAATAATAATTCAGCCTTGTCCCCCACTTGATGCTTGTATCTGCTGGTAACTACACACATACAACAGTACTTTGTTATCCACTAATGCATGGCTTGAACTATGACGTGAGAATAATTATAAATGATATTCATTATGACTCACACCATAGACTTGTACAAGTGCATATTCTAATCTACTTACCCTTATCCTCCCTCAGTTCTACATAAAGATACCCTCCTATATTTCGGCTGAGCCGGAGATAGAATCAACGCCAAGTGCGTTCTTTATACGGAGTAGGAGCATAATACTCCATCTGGAATCCACGTGACCGGAGGCAATACGGGAATACGGGAAACAGGGTCTCTCGGACTCGGAGCTCGGGAGCTCTTGAGTTTTCGCCCGGACGATCTATGTGGGTCTCCAATATCAAGTCCCTCATACTTTGTTCAATCACATTCACAATCCGTTTAGGGCTTATTTCCTTTATTTTGGATTTTGGTTGGTAATCAAAGCAAAAAAAAAAAACAAAAAGCTTCTCGAAGGTTTGATATCGTGGAATATTCGTTTTCAGAACCTTGGAAGTTCTGGAACACTTCGAACGTTGTGTAACACGGGAGAAAGTTCCGGGAGCCATGGGTATTTCAACGGCTAAACGGAAGTTCATGGATATAGTATTTGGTGGGGGTTATACTTTTATATATTGTACATTTCATATTTGACATCCCACATTGGGGGATCGGCGTGTACAATGATGTTGACTCACCGATTATCATGTATCAAGATATACCCATATAGAATACCGTACTTTGTATTCAAACTATAGAGGTGGGCCTAGATCGCCGCTCCAATGACGGTGCTAATTTCCTTTAAGGAACCCGCGTCATCCGCACCTGGACATGTCGTAGTCGCATACAACGACCCCGTATCTCCTCCGCCACAGCTGAATCTCGGAATTCGGAGAGAGAACGTAAGGCCCTAGACAAAGGATAGCAAAAAAGTGAAGCAATTGGGAAGTATGCTTCTTGGTTATCCGAATGGAAAAATCCCATTCTCCGGATCTCTGCCGTCTTAAACCGATCAACCCATTATTGCCGGGATAACCGGTCAGAGCTTCCATGTCTGGTGACGAAACCCACTATGTGGCTACGGAACCATACATCTGTCTTGGCAAATGGCTCACTCGTATTAATCCTGGACAAAGAGATTGACCGTGCTTATAAATCGGGCCATATCCCCTACAGGGCTGGGGCCACTGGCTACTACACATCCTCCTTTCCTCCTGGGCGACGATACCTAGTATATACCTCTTTTTATATTGTTACTAGCTTGTACAAAGCTCATCCACCATGGCACAAACACTCTCGGAGACACCACAACATCCCGGACGCAGCGGACGAGGCTCGGAAAGTGATAGCTCGCTCGACGAGATCGCGCAGGAGAAGCACAATGCGCTGGTGACAACACTCGGTCGTCATGGGAAGGACCTTGACAATTCAGCATCCCCGAAGCGGTGGAAGAGTTTCTGGACGGCATTCCGACACCTCGCGCACCTGACCCCAAAACAAGTTGACGATTTCATGGCGTCATATGTCATCTATAACCTTGACTGGTCCGATGAAAAGCAAATGACCGAGTCTCTGGGCCCCAACTACCAAGAGAAAGTTGGCGATTGCTTGAAATCCTATTACGGAGTCCTGAACCACCTTTGCGCACTGGGCGATGTCGAAAAAATGTACATCCCACCCTGGATGAACCCCAAGTCCAGCGTTCTGGAGAACCAGATCCTGTACGAGCGCTCAATTGCACAAGATATTGGCCTGGGAAGAGGGAAGAAGGTGCTGGATCTGGGTTGTGGTCGCGGGCGCGTCGCAGCCCACATGGCGCAACACACCGGTGCCCAGGTAACGGGTCTCAACATCGACCCGAACCAGGTCGAGCAGGCGACGACCTTTAACAAGGAGCGCGGACTCCAGAATAACTTCGTCACACAAGATTTCAACGACCTTCCTCTGCCCTTCGCCGACGAGAGCTTCGATGCATTTTACCAGATCCAAGCACTAAGTCTGTGCAAGGATCTTCCCGCGCTGTTCCGCGAGATCTTCCGTGTCGTCAAGCCGGGCTCGAAGATCTCCCTGCTGGACTGGATTAGCTTGCCGGCTTACGACGCTAGTAATCCGGAACACGCGGAGCTCATGCGCCGCGTCAAGCCGCTCATTGGTGCTGTCGGTACACCCACGCAGGAAAGCCTTGAGGCGGCGTTGAAGGAAGCTGGGTTTGAGGTTGTGCGGTCGGAGAACGCTAGTATCGATGGTCTCCAGGCCCCGCTTATCGATACCGTCGATGTATACTTCCGCACCCTGCGCCAAGCAATCCTTGCACTGGTCAAGGTGCACGTGCTGCCACGACACTTCAAGACTTTGATCAACCGTCTATGTTTGGATGGTCAGGCTTTTGTTAAGATGGATCGTATGCGTCTGGCTACGACAAGTTATAGTATCATTGCACAGAAGCCTAAGGCGTAGGCTTGGCACAAGGTTCCTCGGCGGGGCGGGGACACGTGAGGCAGTTGGACGGAATTGCATAATTCCCTGCTATCAGACCTCGGGACTCTGCGGACATCAAAAGTCGGATCAATACATTCCAGAGCACACCCTCCTTCCACCTCCACGCCGTCGCCCCTCACGAATCGATTGGGCATCTCGACACACAATACATACCCTGTACATTTATAATCAACGGATTAGAAGGTTGTCGGATTTGCGAATGGGGGAGTTTCGGTCATTTATTTTTTATTTTTTATTTTTTTCATTCTTTTTAGTGGTTTCTTGAGCAATAAGGGGTTTTCATGAAGGGAGTTCAACTGCATATACATCGGTCTGATTCACAATACATAATTTATTCAAATATATCTTATTCTGAATGACTATCTAGTAAAGAAGCAATAAAACAAAGCAAATAAAATAAATAAATACTCAGAAAGCATGAAATGAAGTTAAAGAATCCCCCCAAAAAAAAAGAGGAAAAAAAAGCAAAAGAAAAAAGAAGAGGTCGCGCCCGGGATCGAACCGGGATTGCTGGTATCAGAAACCAGAGTGATGGCCATTACACTACACAACCAACTTTTTTGATGTACGGAAATCGTTATATTGTTACAAGAGGCTGATCTTCTATTCTACTTTTCTTTCTGCAACATCCCCACTAGTCCCTATTAGGAGAATTCCATACACCCTTGTACCCCTCTAGAATCTGGGAAATGTTCAAGTCTCCTTTGAGCTGCATCTGCATGGCAGCGTAAGCTCAGCACATCTTATCTGCACTGTTCCAACCTGCTCCTTCCCCCTCTCCAAACCAACCCTCGTGACCGCGGGGCAGTCCCTCCATAATCTTCAAGCGCCCCGTAGATCCCATCCCGGCTTTTTTTTTCCCCCACAACAATCATATCTCCAATTTACCAGTACTTCATGTCTCCTTTACCGTCTTCCGTCACAGCGCTGTCTGCGCCGGGCAAGGTTCTTTTAACCGGTGGCTATCTCGTTCTAGACCGCGGGTACACGGGTACCGTGTTTGCGCTCGATGCCCGCATCCATGTTATTGTCCAGCAGCTGAGGAGGGGTCACCGCCGTGGGGCATCAGGATCTGGGCCCGCTGTTAGTGTTGAGGCACCGTCTAATTCGAGCGCCGAGGACCAGGATGGCCAGGATACGGTTGTTGTGCGTTCCCCGCAGTTCCTCAATGCGGTGTGGGAATATGGTGTGCAGCGATGTGGGAATGGTGGGGGTGTCAAGGTCATCCAGAAGGGAGATGGGTATGCTTGGCTGTGTCTATCTCTTTTCGCGAACACAATTGACTAACATCACCTTGCTTTCTCGTTAGACCGCGCAACCCCTTTGTCGAGACCTCTCTCAGCTATGCATTGACGTATATCAGCTACGTTGCCGATTCTAAGGACTTCGGGTCCCTGTCTGTCACTATCATGGCTGACAGCGACTACTACTCCGAAACCGCTGCCTCCAGGGGCCCGGCGTCGCAAGGACGTGGTGAGCGATTTGTTAACTTCGGCGTTCCTCTGTTCGAAGCCCACAAGACGGGATTGGGTTCTTCAGCTGCTCTTGTTACTGCGCTTGTCTCTGCCTTGGTTATTCACCGCACCATGCAGCCGGAGGACCTCGGTGCTGGTCGGGACAAACTCCATAACCTCGCTCAAGCGGCCCACTGCGCAGCCCAGGGTAAAGTCGGATCTGGATTCGATGTTGCTAGCGCTGTCTACGGTTCGTGCCTCTACCGACGATTCTCGCCGTCAATTCTGGAGTCCCTTGGTGATGTAGGCTCGGCTGGTTTCGAGGAGCGCCTCTTCCCCATTGTGGAGGACTCCGATCCCGAGCATCCATGGGACACCGAGTGTGTTGACTTTGGCATGCAGCTCCCCCGTGGGATGCAGCTGGTTCTGTGCGACGTGGACTGTGGTTCCCAGACACCCTCAATGGTCAAGAAGGTTCTCGAATGGCGAAATAACAACCGCAAGGAAGCCGATATTCTCTGGGCTAGTCTCCAGAATAACAACGAGCGACTCCGTCAAGAGCTCAAGCGCCAGGCTCAACATCCGGATGCTAACCCCGAAGGCGACTTTTCTGATATTCGCACCCTTATTCAGCGAACACGCCAGCATATTCGCACGATGACCCGCCGGACGGGCGTCCCCATTGAACCAAGTGTGCAGACCGAGCTGTTAGACAGTGTTTCAGAGATCGAAGGTGTCATTGGCGGTGTCGTCCCGGGGGCTGGAGGATACGATGCCATCGCGCTCCTGATCCAGGATGATCCCACTGTAATTGCGCGTCTGAGAGAGCATCTTACAAACTGGACGAGCTCGATCGAGGATGACTTTGGAGGCAAGATCGGCAACGTACGACTGTTAGGTGTGCAGCATGGATCTGAAGGTGCGAAAAACGAAATGCTGGAGCAATATGCCGGTTGGGTCTAGGTTGCTCTCCAAAACAAGGCAACCGGTGTCCCAGCCCACCATGACTTATCAACAACGTGTTTCGGCTACCAGCTTAGCCTCCCCTATTGCATCCTGGGCTGGACCCTCCAGAAAATACACCGGCCTGTAGGATAATTAATTGCCCACATTATGGGCTGAAACATCGACTTTGATTCGGGTGTGCTTTCTATCTTTTACCTCCCCCTACTCGTGCGCTCGACCAGTACCCACCTATCTGCATCTCTATCTTCAGACTTAGCCCCCCTGCATATGCACTACAAGTCCTATGCTTGGCCGAGGGTTGCTCGTTCCCTTTTTCTTTTCCCCGACGTCCCCCTGCGTGCGACCGTGGTCTGTTTGCCAGGTGTTTCAATATGGACTGGACTGCTCTCAAGGGAATGAACTGCGCACGTTGATATTCTTCAACTTCATGATACCTAGCATATGAGATATTGAATACACATAGAATCCACTTGCATTTCATGACAGTGAAACCATGAAACAATGACAACTGCATGTTTACTCCGTATTATAGTCATGAGATCCCAGTCGTCGTACGGAGTACAGAGCGTACAGAGCTACATATGTGGAGAAAGTGACCTGTCTTTATGCAACTATCCCGAGATGTCCAGATCTACTCCGTACATAGTAATTAACGATGTAGCATACAAACAAGACTTCTCTTGGCCTAACTAATTTCCCCGGATCTTCAATTAATATTCCTCATCGATATTTATAATAATTACTACAATATTAATATCCTAAAGTGCTAAAGTACTAAATTATTAACAAATTATTATTATTTTTCTTTGACTCAAAAATAGGGGAAAATTAAGGGAAAATAAGGGAAAATAAGGGAAAATAAGGGAAGATAATTTGGCAGTTTCAAGGTCGCTCAACCAGGGTCAAGAAAGTGTCTGAAAGTGTCTGTTAGGCTTGCAGATCCCCTTTTGCCTTCTTTCTTCCCTCTTCAACCTATTCAAATTTCAAATACAATCGAATATCTATTTGGGAGGGAGGTACATATATGTACAGCCATTCCATTCCATCCATTCCATCCACACTAGTTGAGGTATTATCTTGCGCCTCCCGCTTAGTCCTGTCTTGACTCCTCACATTTACATCTCTCCCTCTATCTCCTCCCCATTCCAACTCTCAATACCCTTCCTTTCCAAATCCCCGTTGACAGCCCCTTTCCAACGGGGAAAAGTCAATCGTCACCTGCCATCGGGGCATCTCAAAATGTCTGCAACGCTTCACCCGGAGTCGGGGTCAACCTGCAGAGATATCAACCAACCCCCAATCACAGCATCTCCGCAGGATCAACAGACCACGGCCCCAACCACCGAGCTCCAACCCCAATCAGATCTTGTCGCTGATACGTCCATCCCTTCTGTCCATGATCAAACACCCGCGACCCAGGCCCAGAACCACCCCGCAACTGGCTCAAGTGGCGAAACTGAATCCGCCCCCGTGACAACATCACCTACAACCACCAACCCTCCTCAAGCCGACAACGCACCCGCTGTCGTGCTGGCACACACCACTACACCGCCTTCAATGGATACCGAAGAGCCAAAGACTGCGCCCGAGACCTCAACGGAGCACTCCGACGACGGCTCTGGGAAGGAACTCGAGGAGGATACCGATGCTGGTCCGTCGCTGGTGATTACGCTGTTGTTGACGACGGGGTCGCGACACCCGTTCACTATCGATGGGAAATATCTAAAGAAGCGATCGGTGAATGTTGAGAACTACGATCCGTTCTTGATGAGCGTTTACACCCTTAAGGAGTTGATCTGGCGCGAATGGAGATCTGGTAAGAATTCACCCCCGACCTAGACCTCTACATGGGGATCGGATGGGCAGAATACATCTTGATGTGTGATGTCATGGAATAAAAATAGTTAAGCTAACACTGTTGTCGATGTAGATTGGGAAACCCGTCCTTCGTCACCGAGCTCTATCCGTCTTATTTCCTTCGGGAAGTTGTTGGATGATAAGTCGCCTGTTTCTGGTATGTTTTTGTCGCAGATGAATGGGTTGCCATGGTTATAGACTTTGATGCTAACAACCCGACTAGACTCCAAGTTCAGCAAGGAGCATCCAAACGTCGTCCATATGACTGTCAAGCCCCAAGAAGTCGTCGACGAGGAAGACGCAAAGGGAGCAAAGGCACAGTACAGCCGGGAGCGCGAAGCCAGTGAGCGCAGCCCCGGATGTCGATGTGTGATTCTATAATCTCGCTCCCCCCCAGCTACGGGTCTCATGTGTGAACGGCCTGCTCCCGGAAACGATGATTTTCTGTTGCGTACATCCTTCCGCCATGATACCTAACCTTTCCTCCCTTGTCCGTCTTTTGCCAACCCTTCATTCTCTGTCTACCTGCTATTGCAGCGATACGCCTAATTCTGCCTGGACGCAGGATCAACATCCCTGTTTTGCCGAGTCAACATGGGCGCTCTGGAAGCGGCGTTTGGACATTTATTTCCTCTGACTGGACCTACCATCCTGGGACTATGGGTTTCGACTTATTCCTCTTATTTCTGTGCCATGTCTGGATCCCCCTCTTGTTCTGTCATCGCCATATCGTCTGCATGCGGGCCTCATTCATCTATCCATGGATCTTCTCTACTGGAGTGCTTCGGGTTTTCTTTTCGACTGTGTCTTCCGAGGGCTCGATCTGAGATTCATTCTTTGCTTTTCGCATTGCTGTCACCATTATTCTTACCCCGATTTCTCGATATATACCCCCTCCAATCCAACTTTCCTTTTCTTTGTTCTCTATCATTTCCTCTGTGTGCTTCCTTTCCTCGTGGACTTTCGTGTACTTACGACTTTGACCCGTTGTTCCTTCTTTTCCTTATGTTTCATTGCTTTTGCTTGCTTTTATAACGGCCTAGGGTGATTACTAGTAGTGTACAGGGTGTTTTTGGACAAGGCCCCACGGTTGATATATTTCTTTGTCATATATTAAATTACTTCTAAAGCGCCTATATATTCCCGCGGTCTTGATTAGAATTGCTAGTTAGGCACTTGAGGTTGACGAACAATCTGGAGTAGCATACTGTTCATTTATACTTTAGAAGCCTTGAATATATATTACGGCTGCAGGTGGATTTTGCAGTACTGCTTGGTAGAAATAGACCATGGAATTGATTCAATATTTCGAGAGTACCGCACTGTCTTAATAACAGACAGACAGACACGTCGGAAATGCATCAAGCCCAGTGATCTATCATTCTATTTGACGACATAAAGGTAGGAGTATGACGAGGGACGTAAGAGGAGAATAGTAGAACACATCGACATAGAAAAGCAGAGAACCAAAAGAACACCATATCATCAAAGCCATTAGAAATCCATCTTGAGCCTCTTCTCCATCTCATCATGGAAAGCAGGCGGCTCACGGAGGTCATCACCTGAAGAGCAACCAAGTTAGCCAAAAACACATCCAACCCTCCCAAATATAAGAATGCAACATACCATGGTAGATATCCTCCCACTGAACCTCACTATCCCGACCTCCAATAACAAGAATATCCTCATGAACATTCCCACCCCGCACACCGCCAAGAACAGCAGGTCGGAAAGTCCCATCCCGAACAATCTTCAGCTCCATCCCGCGACGAATGGGCTCCGCAATTCCATACGCCCGACGCAGTCCCTCCATCTTCATGGCGTCCTGTGTAGCCCGCCACGCGAGGAGTCGGGCCTCGAGAGGGTGCGTAGATGATGGAACCTCGCTGCTGGAGTTCGTGGACGACGCGTGCGCCGTGGCGGTCTGCGTGAGCTTGTTGCGGAGAGTATCCGGGAGTCCGGGGGCGGAGGGGGCACCCTTAGATGGACGGGGTGCTTGAAGGCTTGCTTGTTGGCGGGTTGTGAGGTTGCTGGTTTGTGTTGCGTTGCCGCTTGGGGGGGGCGATGCGGAGTGACTGGGGTAGTTTTGTTAGTTTATGTGGTTTGAAATTGGGGTTCAGGTGAATTGAAGATTTCAAGGATGGGAGCTTAGGGATAGTTGATGGTGGTTCTAGATGCTTTGCTTATGGGCTGGACTCCAGGGTGAGGTCCCGGGGTCCGTAGCTTGATAACGTACCATGATGACGGATGGATAATGCTAGGATTTTCAAGATCAAGGGTCGAAATCACAGATTGGATAACTCTGGACGTGTATTCAAAGCTTGAAAAGATAGAAAAAGTAGAAACAAGAGCCAAAGGGAAGGATGCAAGATGACAAGCACCGATGATGCTCCAGGCAGAGAGAAGCAGCGCGGCCAGCTCCTACGCCAGACGGGAGAGACCAACAACGCAAAACCAACCAACGACCATCCAAAATCACGTGCCCTCCACTTCCGCCGGGCCAACTCAATTCTATCGCGAGATTCTTCAGCGAAAGGGGACCCAATACGCACATCTCACACCACCCACAATGACCCAATTATTCTCCCCAATAGCCCTCCGGGCTCTACGGACCCTCATCCACCGTCCTGCGGTCTCATCGCCCCTCTGCCGCACAATCACCACATCACCCGCTATCTCCTTCGCCGCGAAACAATCCCCCATCACCTCCCGCCTCAACTTCCACCCCGTCTTCCGCACAGCTGCTGCCGGCTTCGCTGCCGTGCCCAAGCGGCAATTCTCTAGCTCGCCGATCATCCGCGCTACGTACAACCAGGTCCGTCGCGGTATTCGGACTGGACAGCGGGCTCGTCGTGGTGGATCGCCTGCGCTGAAGGGTACACCTGGGTTGAAGGGTGTTTGTCTTAAGACTGGTGTTACCAAGCCTAAGAAGCCTAACTCCGGTGAGAGGAAGGTTGCAAGAGTGCGGTTGAGTTCTGGAAAGGTCATTACTGCTTATATTCCTGGTGAAGGTAAGATTTACTTGCAATTGGATTGGGCTGGTGTTGGGAAGAGGATTCTGTGGATTCTGTTTCCGGTGCTGGTCTTTTTTTTGACGGGATTTTGGCTAATTTTCTTCTACAGGCCACAATATCCAGCAGCATAGTGTTGTCCAGGTCCGTGGTGGACGTGCTCAGGATTGTCCTGGTGTGAAATATACCCTTGTTCGTGGTGCGATGGATTTGGTAAGTTCTTTTCTTTTCCCTTCCGTTGATATATATCCACTTTCGGGGTGTGTATGTCTTTCTAGATCTTTTACTAATTGTATGTTACTAGGGTGGTGTTGGAAGCCGCATGACGAGTCGCTCGAAGTACGGTGCGAAGAAGCCGAAGACCAACTAAGAAGGATTCGGAGATACAGGTTGATTGTGATTGACCTGCTGTGAGATTATACAATTTTTGGCTTTGTTTTGAGCAGCTGCTGTATAAGAGATAGCCTCATGGGGCTACTTGGATTTTGCTTTTTTTGCTCTTCGCTGAGCAACGCCTGTTCATATTTGCATGTAACACTACGGATTGCGACTGTTTATTATCATATTATCTCTTTCGATATTCAAGCTCTTTAAAGTCAACTGTGTTGATATCTTTGAAATTTTAAGAGGTATAGAAAATGGCCCCGGGAATATCACCTTACTCCGGACCTAACAGAAAAGACCCCAAACAAGGACGAACGCTCGAAAATCAATAGTAACACATGTCAGGCATCGAAGTAAAACCTCTTGAAGGTAACGCGATAACGGGAATCAAAATGAAACAGTTGAAAGGTAAATGTGCAGCATTTTCCCCAAGCATGGTAAAATCAATAGCATATTGCTTCATTCAGGTGATATACCCACCACAAGCAGAGCAGTGGGCAAAGTGCACCGGATTCTACCAAGGTTTTGTAGTTGCCGCGCAAACGGGTGACACTGTCAGCCTCCAAAAATGCGCAGCGCTTCGTATCTAGACGAGACAACCGACCCGCGCATTGTCGGTAATAAGGAAACGACTGGGCCATCCTTCAATGGATCCAGAGGGTCATGAGCAAAATGAGTAAATCAGTCGTATTTCGTGTCCCATCCGTTCGGCTTCTCCGTCTTGGTAATATCGAACCAATGCTTGGTGCCTGTATCGCAATTAGTTTCGTACTAGAGGTATAGATCAGTGGGGGTATAGACATACAAGAGTAATCCTTCCAGTCGAAGTTATCCTTCGGTTGGCAGGAACATCTCAAGTCGAGGCGTTTCTTTTCATCCGAGGGGCAATGTGTGAATGGGACATGGTAGTACGCGATGTCATCCCAGAAGTGGATTTCCTCTTTCTTCAACATCATAGAAGCGGCAATGGAGTGAACCGGTGCGTCGCCCCATCGCTCATAGAAGAAACCACCGTCCTTGTCCAAAGAAGTGAAATAGTCAATATAAGCGTCGGACCGCAGCCACTCCAAGCTGCCAATTTCAAAGTTGGACCACTAACAGAAAGATTAGAGAGGTTGGAGTTTCACCTAGTTTGAGGTACTTACGAAGTGGCAGTTGTTGTATGTTTCTCCGCCGTCATTGCTGATGAATTCCATGGCATTTCCCTCGGAGATATACTCAGGGTGGTTACCTGTGAACTTTTTCACGCTATCCCACAGGGTAGGAATGGTCGCCGCATACTCATACAGACTGATGACAAAGCTGTACTTCTTGTTGTTCTCTTTCATGAAGCGGAACGGATCAGAGTCGACATCACAGTAGAGCTCAATGCTAGGCTCAACGCGCCAGTAGTACTCAAAGTTCATCATGAGCGGGTGGCGGAAGAAGAACCCGGACTCGTAACGGCACATATGGCGGTAACTCTCCGAGCCGCCGTAAATAATCTTCTTGCGGTCCATTTCCTGTCGCGCTTCTTTGGCCTTGTCCTGGTCGATCCACTCTGGATATGACCAGTGTTCTTCGGGGATGAGGCCATAATGAGTTTTGCCGGAGACCAGTGCGGTGGTCAATTTCTTGAACTCGTCATCGAACTCTTCGTCGTTCAGGAATACCCAATCATAGTTGTAGTTGTGGTTGAAGCGGTCTTCGACTGTTCGAATGGACTTGACCATATCCCAAAGGTCGGAATTGCGCGCGAGGGTGACAAAGGTGGCATTTACACGTTCGCCATGGTGTGAACCGATAACTTGCGGTTTTTGCGACTTGACTGAATCGTATGTGGGGGTCTTGGGTGTAGGAGTGGTTAACCCGGTGGTAGGCATCGGGATGGAGGATTTTGAGACGAAGAAGAAGAGCGCCAGTGCCTACTGGACGTTAGCAATGGACATCCGTGAGCATGACAGAGAGACTCACCACGACGGCAAAGACTAGATAGCGCGCATATCGAATAGTGATAGACATGGCGATGTGGGGGAGGAACAATGATGATTCCCCGATTAGTGGCAAGGCAACAACAGAGGTCAGATCGGCGCAGTTAGAACCAATCTAAATTAAAAAGCGAGCGACATCAATGGAGAATAAGACAAAATTAAGATTGAGGAGTAGTCAGTGGAAATCCCGAAGGTGTTTTAGGGGGCGGAGGGGAGATTAAAGGTGGAAAAGGTCAAAGGCCGCGCAAGACAATGACAACCGCTTTCAGCCACTTGGGGTGTCATCCAATTTGAGACATTCTAGTGCTCAGGGGATATTATTAGGGTCCCGGGGTGGGTTAGTGAGATCTATGTTCATTCGATATTCGATGGAGATAATGATGTCAAATCCACTTTGAAAAAAAAAGAGATAAAGGGGGAAAGGGTTCTCGTTATACAAGTTGACAAGGGTCTCTCTTATCAATTTCTTATTGTTACTATATTGTTACTATTCGAGTGTGTATATACTCCGTACATTATGGATATATGTAGTTATATATATCAGGTGGACTCGAAAGTGCTTAAATAGCCCTATAACATCTTATCTCCTTTCAATAGACATTTCTTTACATATTCAAAGCTGTAAAGCTGCACATCAGAAGTGAAGATCGACAGCTGTGGCTTGGCAAAAAGCACTTTCTGCCTGAGGCATCCGCACTCCAGAACTTCCCGTCCATCGATCGCACCTTTCCCTCAACCTCCCCCACTAAGCTATTCACCTCCCCACCTCTTTCCCATCATTTCTCATCCAGAGGATGGCTTTCTTTGGATTTGATACAACCCTACCCAGGGACCGTGATGGTACCGGGGCCAAGGGGTTCTTCGAGAACCCAGATCCCTTCGCCGATATTGCTCGAGCTAATGCGCTGGGAGATGACGACGTGTGAGCCTATCTTTTTTAATGGCTTGGAGTGGGCCATTATACTTATCATCATTTAGGATTGATTTCGAGGATACCTACGATGGTCTCGGAGACCAGCTTTCCGACGACCAGGACGAGTTCAACGATGACACGTTTGGCGGAGCCGGGCCCGATACATCTGTTGGCAGAGACTTTGATTTCTTTGGAAAGACTGCTCAGGTTTCCGACGCCATTGGCGAGGAGCAGGTTCGCTTTAGCCTACAGAATCCCAATGCGGGTCGAGTTGCCCCTCAGCCCGTCCAAGCTCCTGTTCAGCAGGCTGCCCCCCAGCAGACCACTAAGCGCTCAGGCTATGAGAAGTACTCGGACCCTGGCTATATTCCAGACTTGCAAGCCAAATCTAGTGTATGGGGTGTGTCGCAGAAGAAAACTGAACCCGCTGCCGCTGCTGCCCCGAGCCGGAAGATGATGAGCTTGGAAGAGGTCGAAGCACAAATGCGTTATCATGGCCATACTTCCGCGACCCCAGCCGCAGAAGCCTTTTTGCGATCCATGGTGGAGCAGCCTCAGTACCCACCTCAGCTCCAGCACCTTCAGACACTTCCTGATGGGTTCCCTCCGGTGCCTCCCGAGTTCATCCAAGCACAGATGAAACAGGGCCACCTACCCCCGCAAATGTCACACCCACCGCCTGGTATGCCAGAGCTCTACGGTGGCCCTGGACATATGCCACCCGGCGGGCCATTGCATATGATGCAAAACGCCAACCTCCCCCCGCAGAACATGCCGCCTCCTGGCCCACGCCATGGAGGGCCACCCCAGGTCCAGGCCCAGCGCCCTCAGCAACCTCTGCCGCAGCAACCTCTTCAACATCAGCAAGGGCTGCCTCCTACCCGGGGCTCCAACAATGGAATGCCGGTGATCACTAACCCGCAGCAACTCATGCATCTCACAGAAGAGCAGCGTAACAGTTATTTAGTAGAGGATGCCAAGCGAGCAAAGCGCAATCACAAGATTTTCCTCCTGTCGCGCGGCAATGGTCTGATGACCCCGCAGGACAAGAATTTCATCACCCGTATCCAGTTGCAACAGCTGGTCGCGGCTGCTGGAAATGTCGCAGATTCGGACCCTGAGGCTGTGCTGGCGGAGGACTTCTACTACCAGGTCTACAGCCAGATTCGTGGCGCACCGCGCCAACACCCCCACCAACCCCTTGGTCACTTCGCCCAGACCTATCTTCTTCAGACAGGTAACCGGCTCGGCGGGCATCGTCGGGGCAATTTCCAGAGCGCCGATAACCACATGCAGCGAATGCAGCAGCAGGTCCAGCGTGCCGTAGAGGCAGCAAAGGCCAAGCCCAAGAATAAGCAGCTCATCATTGAGGGCAGCTTGGGCAAGATCTCATTTAGCAATGCCAAGGCCCCCAAGCCGATGCTGAACATTAAGCGCCCTGATAGCTCAGAGGGACCTAAGCCCAAGAAGCAGTCGGACCTAAGTCTCAGTGATCGCAAGTCGATCCTTACGAATCTCGAAGGTGTTTACAGTGCATTGATGGCGATGGAAGACATGGAGCGCACGATGCCGCCACCCCCCGAAGAAGGCGACGCCGAGGCGATCCAAGAACACATGGAATGGAGACAGAGACTTCACTCGCTCAACCAGAAATTGTGGCGGTCATTGAAGGTGATGGAACCTATTGTCCCCAACTCGACGACACCACACCCCTTCATCGCATTCTTGTCATACCCCAAGGGCAAGAAGGCCATTCCCCGCATCTTCCGTCACATTGACCAGGAACAACGTGTCACTATTCTCACCATGATTGTCGTCCACCTGGATAGCCTTGATGTGGTCCGTCTTGCTCAGCCCGTGCCCGGCGAGGCCCAGCCCTCGCTCGGTGTGCGCGAAGCCATTGACCTTTTCTCGCTGGCCGTCATGCCCTGCCTTTTGGGATATGTGAATGAGGCGCCATTCAACATTATTATTGGTCTTTTGGGATTGGTCATCAACCAAACCCATGTGCAGACCGTAGCTCGCACCAAGGTTGGCTTGGGTATTTTGACCATGTTGCTCAGCCGCGCCGAGATCGTCAAGGAGGCTGGTCAGGCGTCCGAGCACGATTGGCAGCAGTGGGTTGAGAAGTTCAACGTGCTGTTTGATACTTTGGAACTCGGCTTGAATGACATTTTCCCTGGATCGATCAGCTCCGGCGATGATATGTATGTGTGGCAGTTCCTTGCCGCCGTGGGCATTGGTGCCAGTCCTGAGCAGCAGCAGCGTCTGGTTATTGCCGTTAAGTGAGTGCTTCCGTTTCGATATAGTGATACGCGACAACAGTGCTAATCAATTTCTTACAGGGACCGAGTCATGGAAACCGTTGGATACAGCAAGACCCTTCCTGCCGATATGGGCAGTCAGCGTCTGAACAACGTCAACCTTTTCATGCGAGCTATTGGTCTGGACGTTGAGCTTCTCGGCTAAACACCTCGGTTAATTAGGCTAATCTAATTTTGAGCCTCCCTGGGTATCTACCCTTGGCGTGTTAACCACTTCTGCCCAAGCTTTTTCAGACTTGAATGAATGAGAATGAGCCCCGAGGCCTTGAGTACTCCATATGCTCATGGCAATGCTGAAATGCTGAAATGCTGAAATGCAACGCTATCTACCACTATCTACAAGGGACAAAAACAGGTACTACCGTCCGTACCTGAACCCGGTTTTATTTTACATTTTTTTTCCCAATACCAATTTCACTTCTACGTTCTATATTCAAACAGTAAATAATAATATGTGGAAAATTCCCCGGGAACGGGCTGGACCCCTTACATATCTTATTCGGCATTGAAATGACGTTTGCAGGAAATTTCGGTGTCTCGGGGGATTGGGTGATTTCTCTTTGCCATTCCACATCCCTGCATATCCTTGCCCGTTTTGAGACAGTGGGCTGTTTTCACTTCCCCGGTCAGAACACATCGAGTATATAATGTCCGCATCAATAATCAAGAGTCTAATATACCTCAAATAGGAGCAGAAAAGGAAATTATAAGAGGTACAAATGCGTAGATTAATGGATATTTGGGAAATTAATCCTAAACTAAAACAAATAACAAAAACACCCAACGTCAAACCTGGCCGCATCATCGCATATCCACGTGGGGAGACGGCCCAGGTCCCCCCACCTCCAATTTCCCCTTAAAAAGCCCTCGTCCGCTTTTTACTCCGGACTCTTCGTGTTTTACCGTCTTCCTATTAATTATTACCCGGAATTTCAATCATGTCTGCTGGTTCAGTTCTTGTTGCTGGGTAAGTGGTTGAATTACCTCTTTAGCTTACATTGGAAACTAACGCCCCGCTAGTGGCACGGGCTACATTGGCTCGTTCACCACCCTCGCCCTTCTCGAGGCTGGTTACAAGGTCGTCGTTGTTGACAACCTGTACAACTCTTCCCGTGAAGCTCTCAACCGCATTGAGCTTATCTGTGGCACAAAGCCCGAGTTCTACGAGCTCGATGTCACCGTGGAGAACAGCTTCGACCAGGTGTTCGAGGCCCACCCCGACATTGACAGCGTTATCCACTTCGCTGCCCTGAAGGTATGTATACGATGAGAAGAGGAGGAAAAAATAACCCCTATCGTATAACCCAATGGCTAATCTAATTGTCCTATTCTAGGCTGTTGGCGAGTCTGGCGAGAAGCCCCTGGACTACTACCTGGTCAACGTCTACGGCACCATCAACCTCTTGCGCTCCATGGTCAAGAACAATGTCACCAACATCGTCTTCTCCAGCTCCGCCACCGTTTACGGTGATGCCACCCGCTTCCCCAACATGATCCCCATCCCCGAGGACTGCCCTCTGGGCCCCACCAACCCCTACGGCAACACCAAGTTCGCCGTCGAGAACGCCATCACCGACCTGATCAATGCCCAGCGCAACAACGCCATCAAGGCCGGCAATGAGGCCGAGGCCAAGAAGTGGAACGGTGCTCTGCTCCGCTACTTCAACCCCGCCGGTGCCCACCCCAGCGGTATTATGGGCGAGGACCCCCAGGGTGTCCCCTACAACCTTCTCCCTCTTCTTGCCCAGGTTGCTACTGGCAAGCGCGAGAAGTTGATGGTCTTCGGTGATGGTATGCAACCCCCACCCCCTCACCGTATCCTCCCCATTAGCAAAAGCCCCAATCTAACATTTCCCCCTAGACTACGCTTCCCACGACGGAACTGCCATCCGCGATTACATCCACATTCTGGATCTCGCAGACGGCCACCTCAAGGCTCTGAAGTACCTCCGCGCCAACAACCCCGGTGTCCGCGCCTGGAACTTGGGTACCGGAAAGGGCAGCACCGTCTACGAGATGGTCCGCGCCTTCTCCAACGCCGTCGGAAAGGACCAGCCCTACGAGGTTGCTCCCCGTCGTGCTGGAGATGTCCTCAACCTCACTGCTAACCCTACCCGCGCTAACACCGAGCTCGGATGGAAGGCTGAGCGTACCCTCGAGCAGGCTTGCGAGGATCTCTGGCTCTGGACTAAGAACAACCCCCAGGGTTACCGTCAGGAGCCCCCTGCTGAGTTGCTCGCTCAGCTCAAGAAGTAAATTTACTTCGAGTGATGTGATCTTGTTTGAGGCTTGTAATGGATCTTGCCTTTGTTGATATAGAAATCCTGAAACCCTGGATTTAGTTGGTAGAATACATGAAACGAATTTCCTTTTTTTGTCATGCTTGGTCTATAATTTTGAGCTTGTCTTCTCTTTTATCGCAGAGTTTTAGCCCTTAACTCCATCTATATAATAATATCATGCCCATACCTACATACCAAAAAAAAAAATAGATATACACATACACATATCTTCTCTTATTTCTGACCCTTCCGACTCCTCCTCGATCCCTCAGTCTTCTTTCCCTTCTTCTCAGCAGCCTCCTTCTTAACCTTCTCATCCTCAACCTTCTGCTTCTCAATCTTAACCTCCTTCTTCTCGAAAGCCCTCATAATAGCACTCTCCTTCTCCGCCTCTTCAACCATCTTCCCACTAAACTCCCAAAGCTTCTTCCCAACCTCATCATTCCGCACATCAGCCCGCGCATAATCCATCTCCCGACATTCCTTAATCAACCATCCACCCGCACCCCGTCCATATTGCTGCTCCATAGCCGCATACAGAATACTCTGCGCACCCTGCGTAGGCGACTTGAACACCAACCACCAAATAGGCCAGGTAATCAAGTACAACAAAAGACCCCACAACGACCCACCAGTCAACCACCGCCGCATCCCCGGAGTCCGCGTCAGACCAGGATCAACAACGATAACCCGCGTGCAAGGCGGCAGACTATCCGGCCGCTCGTAGGAATTCAAATGCCGCTGGAACGAGTGCGCGAAGATAGTCAATGCAAGCTTGCTGAGCGCGTACACGCCCTTCGGCTGTTCGTACAGAGCCGGGGAAGTCTTCGTCCGTTTCGTGACAACCTTTTGTTTCCCGCGTGCTACCGACTCCAGATTGCTGAAGTTGCCGCCGATGTAGCTAGAGCATGTTGTGAAGATCACGCGTACGTCCCGGTGTGCGGGCTGGGCGCGCAGTGCTGGGCTGAGGATGCTGAGGAGGTGGAAGTTGGCCAGGTAGTTTGTTTGCCATTCTTGGTCGATGCCGTCGATTGTTAGGGTGCGCGGTGCCGAGGGCTCAGCTATGCCGCCCGCGAGGATTATGCCGTCTAGTCGACGGGGTGGGATGTTGTCGATCCATTTTGTTGCGAAGGTGCGGATGGAGTGCAGGGAGGAGAGGTCGACTTGTTCGGCGTAGATGAGGGGATTTTTCGTGCTGGTGCGTAGGTCGTCGATGTATTCGGAGAGGAAGAGGTCTGAGGGTGGTTGGCGGGTTAGGAGGATTACTTGGGCGCCGCGAGTTGCAAGCTCGCGGACGACTTCTGCGCCTATTCCGGACGTTCCGCCCTGATGGGTTTGATGTTTGTTAGATTTGGCTAATTGGATGGTTGGACGATGCTTGATGGGTGTCTTACCGTCACCATTATGACTTTTGATCGCATCATTCGCTCGGAGCCGTTGCGGGCTCCTTCGAAATAGTATTTCAGTGCCGCCAGGGCTAGCACCCATGGTGCTATGCGGAGGACTGTCCAGGCATACGGGATGGACGAGACGCCATCCCGGAGACCCTGGGCAATGATGGGGATGGGCATATTTAATTGAGATGTGAAGATGTGAAGAGAAAGGACAGGTGTGTGTCCAAAGGGATTTCTCCAACGTACACGTCCGCATCTCCGCTTATCTCTTATCGCCACCATTTTAATTCCGCTCCGCCCCCCCAATCTTCTTTCGCTCTTCTTCCTTTTCTCGCCTTCACAGCTCTACAATTCTCAACCATGGCCTCCGAGGACGAAGATTATTTCCTCCCACCGGAGCAACAACGCCCCTTCAGCTCTGGCATCCGCCGAAAACGCGTGCAGTTCGTGCGCTCCTCCGATCTGGATACTACAACAGCCCCAACTCCCTCCTCTTCCTCCGGCACCAGCATCGCAGACAAATACCTCTCTATTGTGATGAGCCAACCAGCCGCAAGTACATCACCGAGCACACCAACCCAGCGCGCACCCTCACCACCAATCCGCACACACTCCGCGCCACCAACTCAAGACATAATCCCCCCGCCTCCACCCACAGAGCCCGCACCCGCGCCAACCCCTGCGACAGAATACTGCGAAGTGTGCAAACTACCTGTCCCCAGAGCTACAGAAAATGCAACAGACAAAGAACTACGTCCCCACGAAGCCTCCCTCGCGCACCAGATCTGTCTCACTCACTCACACCCGCCATCCCACCTTGACCGCACGCGCTCAGGTCTCCGATACCTCTCCACCTACGGCTGGGATCCTGATAGCAGACTTGGGCTCGGTGCATCGGGTCGTGAGGGAATTCGTGAACCTATCAAACCCCGTGCTAAACATGGTACGGCTGGACTGGGGACGGGCCTTGATCGGGATGGAGATCCGTTGCCGCCTAGACCTGCGCCGGTGAAGGTGCAGAAGCTTAATGCTAAGCAGGCGCGGGATAAGATCGCGGAGGATAAGAAGAGGGCGGAGAGGATAAGGAAGGCTTTTTATCAGAATGATGAGGTTTTGAAGTATCTTGGGGAGGGGGTTTAGGTGGTGGGCTTTTATGGATGGATATGCTTCAATTGTTCTTTTTTGGTCTTGATTTTGTGTTCGGTGATACCCCTATTTGTTGTTTTATTTGTTCCAAGAATATCTAGTCACTTATGCGGCCTTGTCATGTTTTTTGGTCTCTCTTTTTAGATGTACATGAAGGTTGTTAAAAAAAAAGCATAATTATTCTGCGCAAGAGACTTGTCTATGTATAACCCTCGATATTTGATGGGTGTAGAAGCCACTGTCGCAGGACTTACTCTCATAGAGTGTGTTACAGACTTGTAGCCCCTTCTTATAAAAGATAGGCATGTTTTAGTTATATTCTAGAATATAATCAAATTTATGTGGATATCCGTTTCAAATAGAGATATACAATTTGTTTCTGTTTGAGTGCTTGAATATTTACCGTTGGCATTGTAAATTGAAACTGGTGTCCAGATTCTACCTAACATAAACTGTAGTACAATGAATACATTCCCATGAATTGAGTCTTTATAGGACTCATCTTGGGGAATAAATGAAAAAAAAAACCGCTGACAATAGCGCCTTGAATGCTAGGGACCAGACCAGACCAACAGAAAGACAAGGAAAAGAATGGTATCACAAAAGCGCTGGACGGGGACAGCAGGACACAGAAAACAGCGTGGGATCAAGAGAAATAGAAATGGCGAATGCTACTTGAAGAAACGGTATTTTTTCTCCTTCTTCTCCTTCTTGTCCTTGTCTTTCTTGTCCTTATCTTTCTTGTCCTTCTTGTCGTGCTTCCCGCTGCCAGATGAGGCAGGGCTGCTTCCGCTTCCGTTTCCGTTTATTGACATACCAGCCATCAGTGCCTCGGGCGGAGCTGGCGGGTTGAGGTGCGCTGTTGAGACTGGCTTCTTCTGTGGTGGGGGAGTGGGAGCTGGAGGGGCCTCGCGCTCGAAGAGATGGGCCGGGGCAGTGGGTTTGGGGCGCTCGTATGGGAGGTCGAGACGACGCCGGTCAATACCAAGGTCCCCTACCTGGCGAAGGAAGAGACCCGGGGTCAACATGTGAGTTGTGGCAAGGTAGACGTCCCGGTTGTATGCCGCTGAGATTTCGTGACAGGCCCGTGACTCGCCGTAGGTGGCACCACCGGCCATAAAGACGATTATGCGCTGTCGAGGCTGGTCGACGGATCTTGTGCGTGCCCAGGTCGGTTTTGCGCTGCGCAAAGAGGCTTGCTGTGACTGCATTTCTTGGGCAACTATAGCGCCGTCCGTTTCGGTGTGCGGACGTGTGAAGGGGAAAGTAGTCGGGTCCAGATTGCCCTGAAGCTGGTCTTCGAGCATCTGCTTGATAGCTAGCTCGTACCGGTTTAGGCTGAGTTCCTCTGATTCGGGTGGTGGGTTTCGTCGGTTGAAAAGAGGTTGCACTGGTGGCTTTTCATCCTTTAGAGGTTTCTCGACACGAACTCCAAGGAGTTCGAGGTTGGCAATCACCCCGCCGTCTTGTGGTGGGAGTCCAGCATGCGCCATGAGTTTGCGAATGTCACCACCTAGCAATCCACCACGATACATGATATACAGAAGTATCAGTCGAAGCCGATCTGGATGTACGACTGAGTCGTCATCGAGGAGCTGTACGAGTTGCGCTGCGAGGTTCTTTGCCTTTTTGTAGTTCTCATCCAGACCTGTGGCGAATGACTGCTCGGTAGAGCTCACTTCCAAGAGTTTGCGGGACTGGAAGTAGTTCATACACTCTTCTGCCATATTGAGGTGCAGCGTGTAGGCGTCCTTACCTTGTTGGAATTCTGTTAGTCCGCCCAACATATCCTTGATGGTGTTCACGTTAGATTTGTCGTTACTGAAAAAAAGGCCCTAGTTAGTATTCCGACTCTAGTATGGGGGTGGCCCGTTGAAACTCACTCGTCTGCAAACTGAGGGTTTGCTGCTCGGAATTTGGCAAAGTCCTCGCCCAGTTTTCCAAGCACATCCTTCATATGCATATGGCGGTAGTCCACCCAGACTCGGTCATTCTCGCCAATCTCCATCTCCTTAACCTCCTCATTTTTGTTGCCCTTGTTTAAAACTGTCTTATAGGTGACTTTGTCTCCATCTGTGACAGGAAGAAGATCATGGACCATGGCTTGGTATGTAAACTCGTGAATGAGGGGCGCGAACAAATCCATGGAACGGTCTACTACGAGTAGGACGCCTCGGGGGCGGTTTGTTTGGGGCGGGAAGTCACGCTGATACTGCGCAAACTGGTCCAATTCATTTTGAATGAAACGCGCCAAGTGAGAGCACATAACTCCGGCTTCGTGAGTCGGAGACCGGGGCCGATAGTACCGAATCACGGGGTATTCACCCAGAGAAGCGCAAAGAGAGACGATCTTGATTCAATGTCAGCAAGCTCAATTGGAATACTTGGAGGGTATATCTTGCCTTCTGGGCCAATTCTTCTAAATGGCGCCGAATCAAGTTATTGCAAGCCGGGTGGAAGAGCATCGGGAAGCTCCACGGGTCCCGGAATGTGATCAAGCGGGATTCTCTGGGGTAGAAATTGATGTTCATAGTGTAAAAGTCTGCA